TGATATTCGAGCTCGAGCATTTTTATCCCTCTTCTACCTCCTATATTTTTTCATCCAACACCATTTCCATCACCATTTCTTTCATCGAAATCCCTTCGCAAATTTCTTCTTTTCAAAGCTCGATATCCTTTACATTAATCGTTACTCAACTCATCCTTTAATCCCTTAACGCCTTTGAACTTCGTAACCCGCTCCCTTATTCGTGGAACCATCGTGTTTAAAGTAATCACCCGTCAATTCACGCTTGTCATCGTAACATTCCTAGTTTAATTTCACGATCTTTTCCAAAGATGTTCCTCTTTTAAAAAAAATGTTGAACACAAATTCTTAAAATTCATTTTCGATTTTACGAGAATTGGAAAACATTTCTCTCCACGATTTCGCAGTGTATTTATTCAACAATTAAAATAAATCATCTTTCGTGAAGAATAAAAGATTCTTCGTCTCTTTTACGTAACACATGACTCCTTTTCTAATTATCAAAGAAGATTTAAACTTTAACTTCCTTCGTATCTTGTTTTATTCTCTGTATATTTTTCCTTATGTCAATAGTTCTCAATTTCTTCATTAAATAAAATTCTCTCTCTCGAATTAATCTCTTAATGAAAATCAAATTATTTTATTTCACATAAATTTGAGGTATAATATAAGTATAAATAATAGGAAACTATTAATATGAATACAGGATTTTATTAAAATTTTAGATTCTCTATTTGATCGAAAAAATAACGAAGACAATATCTAATAAATTTTAAATTGTCCTACAGGATCGAAATATGGCATACTTCGATATTGAAAATAAAATTTGTAAATTTGTAGATAAATTTTATACAATAGCAATCCAAGTCTCATTAATGATAATCACTGGTTGAGAACCTCTGTCACAATTGATTATATACATAGAATCTATTATCCAATGTTTCATCTCGTTCATCGTTAAAATACGATGATCTTTCTCTTACTTTTAAAACGAGAAATAATCGCAATACAAAAGAAATTCTATTTTATGGTCGATGCATATTTCACGTGACTTTGTACGATCCGTTAGATTTGCATGCATTTTTAACGACAGGGCGCGTATACCGGTGTGCAATTTCGCTAATGGAAACACGTATAAATTCACGATGTAATGCGGCGTCGTTATAATTTTGATGACGCGATGCAATTCAATTTAGGTTATTTAGGTTTACACTTAGGCGCCCTCTATATCAACTATTGGAGATCTAACGTAAAGCGAATAGCAATGCTATTCAAGTATATATAATAACAAGATCTCGTTTCGATTCGTGAATACGTCACGTACATTATACTGTTATAAATTAACGATAGGAATTTGTGTGGTGGCGTCAACAGATGGATGAAATGACAGATGATTAATGGAATATGGATTTGAATAATTACTTCGATGTAATCCATCATTTATTTGTTTATTCGCTTGGATTATTATAATTATCATTATCGTAATTATTATTGTATCAAGACCACCATATACGAATAAAATAGGAACAAATAACGATAAATATTCAAAGGATACCGTGGCTTAAGGGATAGAGGTCTAGCTTTTGAATCGAAAAATCGCGAGTTCGAATCTCACTTGGGACAGTCTATCATTTTTTCTTCGATTTTTAATCATTTAATCGTTACAAATGAAATCAAAATTTCAATCATCTCGATTTTTAATTAAAAACATTAAATGTTGAAGTGAAATTTTAATATTTGTTCTCGATATCTTCGTCATGTATCGATCCTTATAATCCCCTTTTTCCTTCAATCGTCTATCCCGTTTCTATACTTAATTTATCTTAATTAATTGTAAAATCACATCGAGATCGCGAAACGAGAATTAGTCTCGATTCCCCCAATTAAGAACTCGAAGCTAGTTAACCAATGAGGGATCTCTCTCTCCTCCTCTTACCAAAGATATCTCTCAAACAAGATTTGTTAAACTATCAAAAGTTGGAGATCGACGAAGATCCGCGGTACAACAGTATATCTCTCTTTCTCTCTCTCTCACCTGCTAAAGGGATTTAATTTGCTACGAAACCAGACTTCTCTCTCTCTATAGATATATATGTAAGTTCGATTCCAAAGTATCAAATCGAACGAAGATTCGTTGTGTTGCGGGAACTTCGAAAAGAGGAAACTAATATATTCGCGTTAAATCTCTCTTGATTCGAGTTTCGTGAAATGAGAGAGAGATAGATATTATACATCAAGATTATTAATATCTTGGAAACCTAAATTCCAAGTGAAGTTGTGTACCGGTGAAATTTCGATCGAGCATCGTTCACCTGGCCCACTCCAACAACTCGAGCTAATTCCTCCCCCTCGATTTTCCAGTGGGGAGCGTGTTTGATCCCCTCGTTTATTAATCCGATAATAAGAATCTGATCGAAAATGAGGGATGGAGAGGAGAAGCGGTTCACGGAGATTGTTTAGAGAGAAATTTCGAACCGCGATTAGATAGAAATTCGTGGTAAAGTTTCTAGGAATTATAATTAACCATGGTGCAGGAATTGGAAATAAAATCGATATCGTTGGAAATTGTTGATGTTCCTGGAATTTTTCCCAAAGATATTCCGTTATTCGAGGACATCGTTGTCCTATTCTACGATGATTTGTAAAGGGACAATGGCGGTTGCCCGAACAATATAAAGTCGTCTTCTTCTTCTTCTACCGATCGCAAATGGTTAGATGATATTGTGCAAGATTCAGATAAGGAGGTGTGACAGAATGGAGTTGAAGCTTGCGACAAGATAGAAGGGTTTGGTGAAGCGGATGAATAATTCATTTTAACTCGAGGCCGAATTTTCTCAGCCGAATTAACATTTGTGAAACTTTGTGTCTCTTTGGTCTCTCCGTACTTTGCCTTTCACGATCCAGAAATATATATATATATGTGTGTATCCATTTTCTATCAAACACATTTGATCACGCGTTTAAACTCAACATATAAATTTTTTCTATCCATTTTCATTGTCCAATGATTACAATTTATATTTGAACCAAGTGGAACGTTTAAATAACATTTAAATAATGACAGAAATAATTCTCGAAAGGAGGGCAAATTGTAGAAACCGAGTTTCCCCTAATTGCGAGTATATCTTCTAATTTCCACGACGCGCAGCTCGACTTTTCAATTTCATTTAATCATCAATGTCGAGCAAAGATACCGATTTAACGGTTTCCGGTTTGAGGGAAATGGAGAACTTTCGAACAAGGAATTCGTCGCGACAAACTTGCTCCTCCTATTAATAATTCAACATGGTTGTTCCATCTCGAAGAATCTTTACCTCGTCCCCTTATAATACTATATAAATATATATCGTGGATTTGACATCGCCTCTTTTGTGTTTGTATTCCATTTCATTCTATTTCGTGAATAGAAATGTATCGATACGTAGATATAAATAATTATATCTTAATATCATTATCCATAGTAAAACATCGATTATGTTAAAATTTGATGGACGAAAAAATTCATTTTCAAGGAGATTGTTTCGTTTCTTTTCCATTCTTTTTTTTTTTTTTNTTTTTTTTTTTTTTTTCTTTCTCGTCGACAATCCAACGTCCAGTGACGAGACGTGGATTGGCACGATGACTGTCCCGGCTGCAAATGCAAATCTGTTACACGATGTAAATCGGGCGAGCAACGCGAAAATAATGTCAACTGTGACTGATCGTATCCACGGATCGATAATCGGATAAAGAGATATCACCACAAGCGTCACGCGTCTAATACTTCATATGTATGGATACATGTGTATGTATATATGTGTGTATATATTCAAAATTATTAATATCTGTACTCACATCTGGTTGAAACGTTTGAATATATCTAACTGCATGTATCTAAAATATGGTAGAAAAATCTTGTCGTGTAAAATGTGTAAAATTTGTTTTTTTTTTTTTTATATCTAGATTATTTGTGGAATAAAAGCACGAAAGTAAGGAATTTAAATAATTTTTAAATTTTATAAATGGGAGGGAGAAAGAATAGAATATGAGGACGTGATTGAAAAATAAATAAATGTTAAAAATTTGAATAATTTTTACGATTAAATAGGGAGAAATATGGAAGAAGTAATTGTATTAAAGATAAATAAAAAGTAGTAAAAATTCAAAAGTTTGAATAATTTTTTAATCACAGACAAAATAAAAATATTGAAATATCGTTATGTGATGAATAAATAGGAAAAATCGTCGATTACATTTCTTTGAGAGTTGCAATTGACACTGGAAACCAGTGATATAATAAAATGTTATATAACGTTATACGTTATATTTTAAAGAGGATTCATAGTGGGAAGAAATAAGAAGTAAAAATTATTCACAGTGACGAATAAATTTTTGATATTAAACGATAAATTTTTCTTCTACGATGAATATCTTAAGAGAGAGTTTTTGGGATTCTATTTGATAATATTTAATATTCGTGGAAATATCGTGGCAGAACAATGATATAAATTTTTCGAAAATTTATATCATTTTAAACGCGTAATTGATTTCGAAAAAATGGCTTAATCTCTCCAATACATAAGAGGATTATACATAAATTGTATATAAATTATGGGAATAATCCTTAAGAGGATATTCCTTACTTCTATGATTTAATAATTTCGATAATTAATATCATTTTAATATTATTAAATTTTAATCCTAATGATACAAAATATTGAAATTATTATAATATGATATAATATCGTATTAATAATATTATTTAATAACTTTTCGAGAATCACTTTAAAAAATTATATATTCGTTCCCAACATTGTTAAAGATTTTTCCCATTTATTCGTTTAAACCATTCTTTCTTTTAGCATTTCACTTTTGCAGTTATGCCGTTGTTCTCTCAAACCATCGATATTCCCATTAAAGTTTCTCCTCCCCTCCTCTCTGAACTACTTCAAAATATGCAGATTATTCTTCGACTCGTAGTTACCAAACTCTTTATTTAAACAAGAATTAAAGCTTCTAAGTAATACCTCGTATTTTCTTACCTTGTCGTAAGCTGGACGATGATAACGATAATGCACCTGGAATCAAAAAAAAAAATAATAATAATAATAATTGCGATAATAATTATTATTTATTATTAGATCTACTTCTACGATATTTAAAAAAAAATAATAACAATAATTGCGATAATAATTATTATTTATTATTAGATCTACTTCTACGATATTTTAAAAAAAAAATAATAATAATTGCGATAATAATTATTATTTATTATTAAATCTACTTCTACGATATTTAAAAAAAAAATAATAATAATAATTGCGATAATAATTATTATTTATTATTAAATTTACTTCTACGATATTTTTAAAAAAAAATAATAATAATAATTGCGATAATAATTATTATTTATTATTAAATTTACTTCTACGATATTTTTTAAAAAAAAATAATAATAATAATTGCGATAATAATTATTATTTATTATTAGATCTACTTCTACGATATTTTTAAAAAAAATAATAATAATAAATAATAATTGCAATAATAATTATTATTTATTATTAAATCTACTTTTACGATATTTAAAAAAAAAATAATAATAATTGCGATAATAATTATTATTTATTATTAGATCTACTTCTACGATATTTAAAAAAAAAAATAATAATAATTGCGATAATAATTATTATTTATTATTAGATCTATTTCTACGATATTTTTACTTTTACACAACTACGATCATTCTACGATCATTCTCCATTTTCCAAGATAATTACAACCACTCTCTATCCTTCTCTATTTCATAATATTAACTTTCACTTCATCTTCTCCAATTACAAATGAATAAATCCGTTAAATCTTCGATATTTTTATTAAAAAGAAAAAAAAAAAAAAGAAAAAGAAAAAGAAAACCATCATAGTCACTCGTCATTACCATAATCCCTCACCGCACTTTTGGAAAGAAGTGTTCGAGCATCTTCGTCGGCAAAGATTTTTCCTCGAGAAGCTTAAATTCATACGAAGGTCGTGTTTCAAGAGCGAAGCCGCATCCACCCATCGACCCATCCACTTCAAATTCACCCGATCCCCGCAGCAGCTAACATCACTTTTCGCTTTGCAGAAACGGTTCGCGTCGCGCGCGTTTTCGCGCGATCCCGGCCGTCGAATCGACTTCCATCCGCCAACAGGCTAACAGACCGCCCCTTTTATACACGAATAAATTTTTTTCTCTCGTTACTTCTCGCTCGATAAATGTATCTCTGCCTCTATTATCCCTTTTCGAAAGGGATATATATATATTTCTTTCTCCCTCTCCTCTCTCTCTCTCTCTCTCTCTCTCTCTCTCTTTAGAAGAAAAAGCATTAAAAAGCATCATTAAACGGGATGGAATATTATATTGTAACGATCTATCTTCCTTCTTTGAAAAAGAGCGCTTCGTTGAAAAATTCATCTCGCTTGATTAATCTCGTCGTTGGAGTTTCTTTTTTCTTTTTTCTTTTTTTTTTTTTTTTTCTCTTTTTTTCTTGTTCGGTTGAACACCTTCGATAGATTAAATTATAAATCGATAGACGGCTAAGGTTAATTTAAAGGTGGATCGGAGTTTTAATTATCGAAAATGTAAATATAAATCACGTTTTAATGAAATTTCTGGGGGACGGATTAATAAATGAGAGGGATGAATCGTTGAATTATCGGGAACGGTGGGGGGAGGGGGAGAGGGTAAGAAAGAAGAAATGAATGAATGAGAAACTGATTTGCTGATTCGATGGAACGATTATAGGGGGGGGGATTCGAGGTAGTGAATGGAGAGGAGCGTGAGAGATTATGAAACGAACGAGGCAGGTTCGGTAACTGAACTGAAATAAATTACTCTTGGATATGGATATAATGGATGTGTGAAAATTTCATAAATTAGAGAGTGAAATTCGCGCACGTATCTTTTAACTTCTCGTTCCGTTTAATTAATAATTAGAAGCGTACAACCGGCAAATGTGGAGATAAAATCAAAATGTGAATGGATTTATGACGAAATTATTACGGAAAAGTATTAAATCCGACGATTACACGACAAAAATTCACTTCACTTTTTTCTTTTAATATCTTAGTATTTTCCTTTTTTTTTTTTCTTCTTTTATATATTTTAATTGTACAGTTTACGCGATTCGAAAAAATTTCTTCGATACTGCTTGATATCTTACCTTTTCATTTTTATCTTCTATTTACGATGGTCCAAGAAAATAATTCATTTTTATTATTACCTCATCGAAAATTGCCTTTCCCTCTTCTCTTTCTCCATTTTCCCATATCACGAGTTCGCGATTCGTACGCGGTTTTCTCGATTGACAGATTTCCCGCGAAAATTGCACGAATTGCACTTTCCTTTCTCCCTTCGAAGCAAGTCGTTTCACCTCGTCGATAGATATTTTTCTTCAAACAAAAATTTTTCAAAATAATTCTTTCCTTCTTCTTCTCGACAAAAAAAATTGCTCCATCTTTTAACAACCCTTTCACTTTCCCTTTTCCTTCTCTCCTCGCGTTTCGCTTATTTCACAATAACAAATTCGATCCGCATCTTCCATAAATCCATGGTCGCGATACGAAGAGAGAGAAATTCGCATAATTCGATGCTTTCGACAACCAAAAGCCCATCAATTCGAATTTCCTTGAGACAGGTTGACCGGCATTCAAACCTGGCCCATTTTATAACCGAAAAATCGTAAAATCCATTGCAGTAAACAGCTGCTCGTCCCCTCGATATACACGCACGAATTCCTTTCTCGTCTTCTCTCCTCAAATTTTCGTTCGGCCGAGCCAATTTTCGGCGCAAAAAACCGATCCTCGAAACGATATTCCCTCGTCGAACGGCGTTCCATACGGCTGTTCGCACGATCGATTCCCGCTGGAAATACGGCGACGTATTTCACGAGCCGACACGCTGTTACGCGTCTGCCAAAGCTGTGTCACCTCGAAGAGCTCAAAGCGTCACCGGCCAATTTCGTGTTAATCGTTTGCAGCGAGGGAAAAGATTAGTTTCGCGTGGAAAAAAGAGCGAAAATACGGGGAGACTTAAGAGCGGATCTCTTCGACTTTTCTTTTTAGAGGGAATTTTTTTGAAAATACGCTCCTCCTCCAATGGAAACGTATTTTATACGTTGATCTTTCTTCTCTTTAAGGAATATTATATTTTCGAGTTTGTCGAGGGATTATTCGCATCCGTTGAGGCGAGAGAATGAAGAAGATTGAAGATTGAATATGAGGAATAAATCGATTGAGATTGAAGGAAGAAATCGATTGTTAATTATCACAAGTTCCTCGTGACGAATCTTGATTATTAATTTTCTTGTATTCAACGATTATTATAGCGATTAATTATCGTATAAAATTGTATATAAAAATTTTTTCTATTATCGTATAATAGTTTCATCAAAATAAAGAAATAATTCTATAGCAAATATTTTCTATCTTTTTTATTTCTCATGCCTCCTCTCAATTTTTTTTATCCTAATTATCATCGGAGAAATAATAAGATTGTGAAACGATTTGATCGAAATAAAGAATACGTAAGAAAGAATATATTTAATAAAGGAAATAAAGGAATAAAACTATGCCACGCACAGATATGAATCGTGTCGATGCCTTTGTTATACTGAGCTCGCTACGTCGCGTCCCCCTTCAAAACAGGCAAAACAAAAACAGCGATCGCGTCCAATGACACCCAATTCATATATAAATATACGAAATACGAGTCGCACGTATCGTATATAAACTCGACACTTATCGAATAAAAGAAACAAATAATTTTGTACAGCGAATAAAGAAGAAGAAGAGGATCGATCTTTTCATTTTAATAGTCTTTCGTAACTTCGTATAACGAAATAAAAAAATAATTCTAACGTCATAAAGGAAATTCGGCGATGTTTCACGAGTCGACACCGTCCGCCAAAGCGGTCGAATATCCTATAAACTCATCTCAAAGTAAAAAAGAAAAAAAAAAAAAAAAGGATCCCAAACCAATGCCACGAATCAGAAAAGAAAAGTGTGCGGAGAAATGAAAAATAAATTCGGTGGACGAGATTAACCGTCCCTCCTCTGAAATCGAGCGAGCGGTCTTCACCTCGAAGAGCTCAAAGCGTCAATTTCGTGTTAATCGAATTTTCAACGAGGGAAAAGATTCTTTGCAACGAGCAGGAATAACGTCGAGAACGGAACTCCTGTTCTTCGACAGGAATAAATATATATACATAAATCGCGACGATTGGGAGGAAAATTTCGCAAAATTCAATCCCTTCGTAACCGTCAAAAGTCTCGTTATCTCGAATTTCCTTGATTGACGCGGCAACCTGGCCGTCGTTTTTCTCCGTGCACAATAATTATCGATCGGTCGTGAGTTAAACGAAGGGGCCAGGGGGCAGGCGTCGTTGCCTTTGTTGCCTCCAGTGGATAGCTCCAGTTCCGCTTGGCGGGGTCGGATCAACCCCGTTGTCGAGCGAATATTTATTTATTCGACGCACAGAGGAGGGGGAGGAAAGTGGGAGAATTGATTCGATTGAGCGTTATCGAGCTCGCTCGATTTCAGTCGGAGGAGGGACGGTTAATCTCGTCCACCGAATTTATTTTTCTCTCCCGCACACTTTTCCTTCTTTCTCGATTTGTGGCACTGGCTTGGGATCCGTTTTTTTTCTTTTTTTTTTTTTTTTACTTTGAGATGAGTTTATACGATACTCGTTCAAAAATGAAAATTTGAAGAATATATTTTGTTTCTTAAGGATGTAATGTAATGAGATTAATAATATAATGTAACGGTTGAACGTAATAATTCGAGTAATTTGTTAGGGAAAAAGGAAAGAATGGAATGGTAGAGGTTCAGAGATTTGGAAACTCATTTATAGGAGTTTTTAAAAGCAACGATAACTTTTTTCTCTAATAATTCAATCAATGGAAATTTTTGATTTACGTTCTATTTTTCTAATACATTTACAATACAAATTTATAGGAGTTTGAAGAGGGTGAGAATACAACTGTTTCTTGGGAAAACAGTATTATGAGTTAACCAAAGACATTTACCAAATTTGAT